CATCATATCCTTGTGGAAGAGGCAGGGAAAACACATATGGAGAGGCAGCCCTGGGTTGCATAGCAACAGGGAGGATGTCGGGGCTGATGGCATTTGTGAGATGATGCCGTGGGACTGGTACGTACTCCAGTGCACATGGGAGAGGGAAACATACATTATTTAAAGGCTTTTGGAGCAGAGCAGTGCAGCTCCTCAGGATCTGAGAGTGCTAAATATGTTCTGTGAGTGCTTCCAGACACCTGGGGCACACGGAGCTTCCCCAGGCGTGTGCTCATGCATCCAGCAGCAGCACCAGCTCCAGTTGGCCACAGTAAACTGGTTTGTCCTCTCCAGCCCAGGAGGCACCAGGGCCAGTGGGATCACACACTGGTTTGGTCTGGAAAGGATCTTAAAGCTCAGCTCTTTCTGCTCCTCTTCCGTGGGTGGGGAGACCTCCTACTAGCCCAGGTTGCTCCAAGCCCTGTCCAGCCTGGCCTGGAACACTCCCAGGGATGGAGCAGCCACAGCCTCTCTGGGCAACCTGTGCCAGTGTCTCAGCACCTCACAGGGAAGAATTCCTTCCCAATATCTAATCCAAACCTGCTCTCTGGCAGTGGGAAGCCATTCCCCCTTGTTTTATCACTACACACCCTTGTCAGAGTCCCTCTGCAGCTCTGTTGGAGCCCCTTCAGGCACTGCAAGGCTGCAATTAGGTCACCCTGGATCCTCTTCCAGACTGAACAGCCCCAGCTCTCTCAGCCTTTCCTCATGGGAGAGGTGCTCCAACCTTCTGATCATCTCCATGGCCTCCTCTAGACTCGCTCCAGCAGGTCAGTTCTGTCCTTCCTGTGCTGAGGATCCCATACAGAGGGATGTACCTCTTGGGATGATACCAAGGCTGCTCTCTGCCATCTCTGACCTGCTGGCCCAGTGGAGATGAGCTGTGTCCTAATGTAAAGACCTGGAAGGTTCTGAAATTGATCTGTGGAGGTCTGAAGAGCTGTCCCCACGTGGCTCTGGTGGAGTCTGCTCTGGAGGTCTCCAGCTCCTCATCTGTGAGGTCAGAAAGAAGCTGCTCAGTTCCTGGAACTGTTTATCTGTGGCTGCAGGAGGGAGGGTGGGGGCAGAAGGTGCTGACCCAGCCTGGGATGTTCCCTGAGGCACTTAGTCCTCGCAGCAATTAATTTAAGCACGGAATTGGTCAATCTCCCCCTGATCACTGGAGCTTGGGCTGGAGCCATGACCTACTCCCTGTGGGCAGCTCTGGTTCGACGGATAGTAAGTACAGATGGATATCCTGGGATGCTCATTCCATGGGGTCACACTTTTCCCTCACTGTGTTGGCATTTGGGTCCTTCCAAAGACAAATTTCTGTGGGCTGTGACCCACAGACACTTGCTGTGGGTTTTGGTGTTGGTTGGTTTCAATACAGTGTTGTGTTCTGCTAATTCTAATCCTGGTCCAAGATGTTTAGTTCACCTTTGGGCAATAATCCTTAGAGTAATAGTAGAGTGATTTTGGGGTTATAAAGGAACTGTGGAGGTCATCCATCCCTGCATCTTGCTCAAGGCAGAGACAATTGCAAAATGATGGATAAAATCCTCATACAATAAGTTGTTCGTGGCATCTTCCTGCAGGGGAACAGCTGGGATGGTCTTCTAGATTTATCAGGATTTAAGGGGCAATTTGACCACATCTGACTTCTTTAGCTAAAAAAAAAAAAAAAGAGGGAGAAAAATGAAAAAGGAAAGCACTTTTCAAGAAAACAGGGAAAATTTCTCTCTGAGCTCTGTGTTGACAAGGCAGATGGTCAGAACTTCCTTCCATTGTGCAGTTCCTCCTCATAGCCAAGCAATGCCAGTGGGTTTCAGCTCTGAGTGTTCACACTCAAGCTGTGGGCTGTCACTTTGGCTGGCTGATGTCTCCTTTGCAAACAAAGATATTTTTGAAACTGTCTGTGCAGCTCCTGACTCATGAGATGTCTCTGAGCTGCTGTTCCTCCGGTGCCAGGTCTGTTTCACATCCTTGCAGAAGGATTTTACATAACTGTCTGCATTCACTCAGGGTTACAGGTACCTCTGGGGTGGAGGGACCAACACTGTGTGTGCATCATGCTCAGGAACTGGGAATTGCAGGAGTGAGCAGCCCTGGGCTGTGGCCAAGCACAGCTTAATTCCAAGGGAGGACTGAAAGAGCCATAATGTCTCATTTTAGCAGGACCAGAGGCAGAGCAGGACACAGCTCAGCTGCTCTAGTTCACAGGAAAATTCAGTCTTTTATTCCCTGGCTGCTGGTGTGAGAATTGTGAAGTTAAAGATCAAAGCTTGGAGAGTTAGAGCATCTGAAACCTGGATCAAGTGTGGGATTTACATGACTGGGGAGATTTCTGCCATTATACATAAGAAAATTCCTAGTTTGGATTTATCTTGTGCACTAAAATGTCACCAGACCCCTTTTTCCTGCCTTTTCCTTTCAAATCTCTGGTTTTCCTGTGTCCTGAATGTTCTGTTTGTGGAGGAAGTGGCTGTGCCTGGCCTGGCTGCACCTCTGGATTGCCTGGAGTCCTCCTGCAGTGTGGTGACAGTGAGAGATCTTCTAAAGGAAGGCTAAAACTCATGGGTTTTTTGCTTGCTAATAATCACCACCTGGAAGGGATAATCTTTAGGGTTGGTTGTCTCTTCCTCCTTCAGCTCCTCAGAGCTGCTTGGGCTATAAATTGCTTCTGTGCATCACCCTCAGTGCCCCCAGCCAACACCTCCTCCACATGCTGGGGAGAGGATCAGCTCCTCTTCCCACTCCTTGTTTTTGTGGTTGGTGCCTAAAGAATGTTTATTTTTTCCAATTATTTGGCACCTAAAAAAAAAATGTGTTGAGAGGGAGAGTCAGGGAAAGACACAGTCTTGAAATAAATGGCTCCCCCCAGGAGCCACACAGTGACAGTGCTGAATGTACCAGTCTCTAGAGCTTGCAGAATTCCAGATCTCCTGGAATTTGGAGTGGTTTATTCCTCCCATTTAGGCTTTCAGTTGGTTTTATTGGCTTTGAGTTCACAGTGACTACAGTAGCAGTAATGTTATTTCTTTCTCAGGTTTCTTTTGGTTATAGCACAGAGAATTGTCTCGTTTTGGCTATAAAACCACATCTCAAAGTTCAAGTATCTGTAACATGGAGTGTTGCCTGAAGCTGAGGAAATATGTGTCTGCAGTGTAAGCCTTTGGATGAGGATATATTTGCATCTGAGCTGTATTATCTGGACTGTCCACACAGCTCCCAACAGGGTCCACGGCCACGATAACACAGCACTGCCCAAACAGGGCCTCCTCCATGCAACAGCAGCTTTTCTGCTGCTCCTCTTCCTGTTTCTTAAACTAGTTTCTAGCTAGAAACAGCATCAGTGATTGCAAGTTAGACTCATAGAATCATCAAGTCCGGAAGAAAACTTTGTGACCATCAAGTCCAACCATTAAGAGTGTGTCTTGCTCAGAGCTAACAGGCTTTGGTCATAGCTGGTGGAAAATACCCTGTACATACTGAGCACAAGGATGGGGTAACTTGTGAGATTGGGGTTGAAAAGAACTCATAATAAGTATTAAGCTGGAAAAAACCCAACCCTGAATGAGCATGGACAGTTGGAGAAGGAAGTGAGAAGAAATGATTGGCACTTGTTAGTGCCTTTCCTAGAGGTGCAGCCACTTGCCAAAGGTGCTGTGGCACCAGGTGAGAGCAGAAGGCTGAGCCCAGGGGTGTTAGCAGAGCCCCCAGAGCAGACTGTGACATTGGGAAGCTGCAGAGGGAGTTTGTAGAAGGCAAAACATGTGCCCGAGCCAAGCAGGAGGAAATGCCTTGTGGTTTCTAGGAAACTCCAGACTATTTCCCTTGCTGGGAGCAGCATGTGCCTGGCAGGGACTGGGAATGGAAGAACTTGGCTTGTGTCTGGGCTTACCTGGACAGAGCTGTGTTTGTAGATCTATATATACATGAGGTTGGACTCTATGATCTTAGAGGTCTTTTCAACCTTAACAATTCCATGATACTGTAAAGCGTAAGGATTGCTGGCAGTGAACTCTGAGGCTGCAGGAGCATCTGGAACATGAAAAGCAGGAAACATCTGTTTGTTGTGACTCACTAACTGAGCCCTTGGTTTACTTGAGTGTTACACACTGAGCATTTCACTTTGTGGTGATAGTTGGAGTAAGTGGTGGAGCCTTTGTGCTTTGTTTCCCTTGGCACCAAGGCACTTCAGCAGCAGCAGTGTGACAGGGCTGGAGAGTGGCTGTGGCCACTGGGAGTAATAATCATAGAATCATAGAATTTAGGAGTTGGAATGGACTTTACAGATCATCCAGTCCCAACCCCTGCCCTGGGCAGGGACACCTCCTCACTAGATCAGGTTGCTCAAGGCTCATCCAGCCTGGATTGAACACAGAGTAGAGGGGAAGAATCACCTCTTTTGACCTGCTGTCCACACTCCTTCTGATGCAGCCCAGATATTAGTTTTAATATGAATTCTTGGTTTCATTGAATGTGGTTGGTGCTTTGTGTGTGCTGCCTGAAGAGAGAGAGATGTGTTGGTACTTCCCACCAGTGTGTTCTGCTAGGTGGGTTTGAGCCAGGGGGGGGATTTCTTTTTAATTTCTTTCTTCTCAAAGAGAGAAAAATCCTTGGATTTTTCCAAGGGCAGGTGGAAACCCATGTAATCTGCTGTCAGATAAAATCTTGATAAGCAAAGCTGATCTGGAGCTGAAAGCCATGGTGTGTTTGTTCAGGTAATGAAGGTGAAAGGGACGAGCAGTTAAGTACCTGCCCACAGCATTGGCTTTCAGGGGCTCTGGAAGGGCCCAGGAAAACAGTGCTGATTGTACAGAGAATTAATTGGCTGATTTCACAGCTATTTTTCCATGTTTAGATTTCTTCCAGTTTTTCCTTGACCAAGTGGAATTGGCAGATGCAAACCCAGTCTTGGCTGTAAAATGTTCTCCCTTCCCCAAGGGACACTGGAATGATGAGGTGTTTTGTTGCAGGACCAGCTGAGGCAATGCTTCTCCAGGCAGCCCCAGGGAGCCAAGGACACCGACACGCTGGTGCAGGAGCCTGACAGTCAGTATGGCACCTGGAACGAGCAGCGGCGCAGCGGGGACAGGTGAGGACAGCAGGGCTCTGCAGGTGACCAGCCTTCCCCAGCTGAGGGAGGGGAAGGGATCCTGGAATCCCAGAGTCCTGGGATGGGTTGGGTTGGGAGGGACCTCAAAGATCAACCCATTTCACCTCCTGCAATGGGTAAGGAGACCTTCCACTGTCACAGTATCAGAGAATGTTAAGAGGAGTTGAGATGGAGCTTAGGGATCATCCAACCCCAATTCCTTGCCCTGGGCAGGGACACCTCTCACCAGAGCAGGTTGCTCAAGGCTTTAGCCAACCTGGCTGTGAACACTGCCAGGGTTGGGGCAGCCACAGCCTCCCTGGGCAACCTGGGCCAGTGTCTGACCACCCTCACAGGGAAAGCTGCTTCCTAATATCTAATCTAACTTCCCCTTTCAGTTTATCTCCATTTCTTCTTGTCCTGTCCCTGCAGCTCCTAACACAGATCCCTCTGCAGCTTCCCTGGAGCCCCTTCAGCTCCTGGCAGGTTGCTCTGAGGTCCCCACACAACCTTCTCTAGGTTTTCTAAACTAGCCCAGGTTGCTCTAAGCCCTCTCCAGCCTGGCTTTGAACACTTTTATTTCGTTTATTTGATTTCTCTGTGTATAAATTAGTTTCTGTCTCATCCCCATTGGCATTGCCTGAACAGTTGTGCTGCCAGGTGGGCTGAAAATCCCTCTGGATTGGGGGCTCTGGGCTCGAGGTGGGGTGACCTGGGGTGAACCTCTCCATGTTCACATCTCAGGCTCTCAAGTGCTTCCTTGTGTGAAGTGGAGGATGAAATGGAATATCAGTTGAGTGAAAGATAGAAGTGCTGATGCTTCTCTGTTATTAAAATGGCTTAATGAAATCAATCTAGAGCAGCAAAGTGTTGAGGTTTTTTTATAGTTTACACCTGTTGTGTAAATTCCAGCCTGATCTGCCCTGAGCCCTTGTCCTGCCTGCTCAGTGTGGTGTGAAAATAGCATTTTAGCTGGTTTTTAATGCTGCACTTGTTGGGATCTTCCAGCAGACATTAATGCCAGTTACATTTGGTGTGTTCTGCACTCCAGGACTGAGTGTTGTAAATGTTTTATTGCTGAGGGAATCAGGGTGGCTTTCAGCTGGGAGTCAGTGAGCCAAGGGCAGGGCAGGGCGACAGCCAGGCTGCTGTGGAATGAACTTGGAGCTCAGGGTGGTGCAGACACTTTGAGCTCAGTTGCTTAACAGAGGTGTTTGTCTCAGCTCCAAACCACACAGCACTCTGATGATTCCCAGCCTGGAGCATCCATCCTGGTTAGAGCAGCTCCACCTCATCATTCAGCTCACTGGAGGAGTGAATTCAATCCCCACGTGCTGGAATTCTGTTTCCATTGTAGGAAATGTTTAGTTTCTTTTTTTTTTTTCCAGTGTATCAAAGACAGTACAGAGAGTTTCCAGCATTGTCCCAACCCGTTGCTCTGCTGTAGCCTGACCTCCAGCTCATTGCAGGGGAATTACTGATGTTTTAATTCAGGCATTGGAGAGGAATGAGTTTAATGTCCTTTTAAATAATGGAACTCTTCCTGGAATATATTGACAGTGCACTGTTGCAGTTTCTTTGCAGGAGCTGGCAGCCCCTGCCAGGACCAGAGCAGACAATCTCCCCCTCTTGCTGCTGTGCCCTCAGGATCTTCCCCTTCAGCCTGGCAGGAATTCAAGGAAACACAGACAATTCCCCTTTCCTGTTTGCTCTGCCTCACTTCCCTCTTCCCCCAGACCTGTCCCTTGCATGGCTGTGCTGTTGTGTCCTGCACACACCCACCCCAAATCAGGCACCAAATGTTGTCCCCAACCTCCTGCTGCTGCCCTGGGGAAACTTCCACTTTTGGGTATTTCCCAGGGTTTGAGCCATGGAGTGATTACTTTAGGAAGGTTTCATTAATGCAGCTGTGAATTAATTTGTCTTAGAGAATCATAGAGTCACTTCAAGGTTGGAAAAGACCTCCAAGAGCATCAAGTGCAACCTTCAGCTGAATCCCACTGTGCCCACACAGCCAAGTGCCACATCTGCAGGTGGTGATGGGTCACAGGCTGGACTCAGTGGTCTCAGAGGTCTTTTCCAAGCTCAGTGATTCTGTGATATGGATATTGATTCCTGTGTGGCAGCCCAGACAAGCAGTGAGAGTTGCCTTTTGATTCTCACTGTTGAGCAGTGTAAATTCAGGATTCCTTTCCTTTCTGAGTCCTAATTTCACATGCTGAAGCAACACACATTCTTTATGGCCTCTTAGCACTGTCTTGCTAAAACTAATTAAATTTAATTGCAGCTGAAAGCGAAGCTTGAGCTCAGTTTATTGCCCATTGTGCTAACCATCCTGCTGGGTTTGTGTGCTCCACATGAAGGATGTGCCTTGAGAAGTGTCTGTAAATGCACCTGTGGAACACTGGGGGCAGCTCATGGATGTGCTCACAAACCCTGAAGTCTTCATGAAGCAATAGAAGAAGATGCAATAATATCTCAGTAATGAGAACTGAAAATATGTTTTCAGTCTCATTATTCTGAGGGGAATTGTCTCCCTAATTTGCTGTTCAGCTGGAAAGAATCCACTGGGTTTGAACTCCAGGGATCCTTCCCGTGCTTGGGGATGAGCTGTGCCACAGGGGTTGGAGTGTAATGGAGCTGTGATTGTGCAGGAACTCCAAGGAGAATCTGTTGGGAAGGTTGGGGAATGGGGAACCTCCAAGCAGTGTAAATTCAACTGGATTTCTGTCAGGGCTTACTCTCAAATGTTGCAGCTTGAGAAACCTCAGTGAGTTGTTCCAGCTGCAGCCCTGGGATGTAAGAGGGAAGAGATGTGCCAGTCAACCAGGATCCTTTCCACACACCCCTAAATTTCCACAAAAGACCCTAACTCTGCAGCTTGTCTTTCCTCTCTCCATTCTGCCACATTGCAGTGGCTCTAAAGCAGATACCAAACATCATTCGAAGCAAAAACCCTAGACAAAACCTTCCCCCCCGAGCTCATTAGTGCCATTCCTAATTATCCTGGGGCCCAGTGGAGGAGGAGAGAAGCAGCATTCCCTGTGCTCGTGTGCTGGAAACCCTCTGTGCAGGGTCTGCCCTGCCAGGCTGGAGATGGAACCATGTGCTGGTGCTACTGGAGCAGTGAGCTCTGGAGTGTTCTCCTCCCAGGAGTGCTGTGGCTCTGAGCTGCACCAAACATTCAGGTTTATTGCTTTACAGTGTGCAGATATTGATGTATATTTGTTTTGGGGGTTTAGAGCAGTTTTCCCAGTGATGTGCTGAAGGAAATGGTGCTTGGTAACAGAAGATTCCTATAGAGAGGAGAAAAAAAAAATCCTAAGTCCTTAATACTTCAGGTTTTGGTTTTTCAAGTGGGAATTAGAAGCAAACCAGCCAAATTTTACTGACAGTAGAGTCTTCCTACTTTTTTCCTGCTGTTTAAGGAGTACTCCAGCCTGCATGACAAAGGGAGACACAACTGTAACAGGTTTCACTCCTGACACTGCAGCTCATTCCTGTTAGTCCTGGCAAGGGGAGGAATTCTAGGAATACCCTGGGAGTGTCACACCACTGCTGTGCAGGTCCTGGACACTACAACTCATTCCTGTTAGTCCAGACAAAAGGAGGATTTGTGGGAATCCCCCTGGAGTGTCCTTGTGCTGGGGTGCAGGTCCTGGACACTACAACTCATTCCTGTTAGTCCAGACAAAAGGAGGATTTGTGGGAATCCCCCTGGAGTGTCCTTGTGCTGGGGTGCAGGTCCTGGACACTACAACTCATTCCTGTTAGTCCAGACAAAGATTTGTGGGAATACCCCTGGCGGGTCCTTCTGCTGGGGTGCAGGACCTGGACACTACAACTCATTTCTGTTAGTCCACACAAAAGGAGGATTTGTGGGAATACCCCTGGCGGGTCCTTCTGCTGGGGTGCAGGACCTGGACACTACAACTCATTTCTGTTAGTCCACACAAAAGGAGGATTTGTGGGAATACCCCTGGCGGGTCCTTCTGCTGGGGTGCAGGACCTGGACACTACAACTCATTTCTGTTAGTCCACACAAAAGGAGGATTTGTGGGAATCTCCTGGAGCATCCCAGCACTGGGCTGCAGCTTCTGCCACCCTGGGAGCTCTCCCCGCTGCACCCGAAAGCTCTGCCCGCAGATCCCTGTCTTAGGGTGCCACCTGGTGCCCACCTCTCCTTCAGCACCAGCATTCCCGAAGGGAAAAGCCTCTAGCTGGCTGGAATTACCCCCAATCCCCCATGCACTGTACATCCAAGGGTGACAGCTGTGCTCAGGGGAAGGATCCATTCCCTGCTGCTGTTCCTGCTGCTCCCAAGGTACCTCGGGCACTCAAGGTGTAACTTCAGTTCCACCTTTATTGAACTCCTGCTGACCATGTGTGATCCAGACTGTCCTTGCAGGTGTTTGCTTACCCTGGAGTCTCACAGGTTTTATGTGCTCCCTTTGCAGTTTTGTGCCCGAGTCTCCTTCCCTGGAGAACGCCGTGGCCCCAGGGAGAAAACCTGCTGGCAGCAGCCTCCCATCCTCACTGTCCTCACAGGCAGAGCCTGCCTCCCTGCCCGACCACCATGACTTCTCCAAAGACCAAAGGAGCACGAGTTTGGATCGCTCCAGCACCGACATGGACTCTACTGATGGCACTGACTTACCTCCTGCAGGGGACACCTTCCCTGAGGACAAGGCCATTGATTTCTCCTTCCTGGATGTAAGTTGTCATCATGGGAAACAGGAGTTCTCCTGAATGACTTGTGTTGTTCCCTGCAAAGTAGTTTCTTGTAGGAACTTTTCTTAGCTGCCTTCCTGCTTGAAAAGTTTAGGCTCAAAGCAACAAAGTTCTTCTAGTCTCTGCAGTGTTTAAGTGCTGAGAGATTGCATAAAGCTGGTAGATAATCAATCAGAGAATCATGGAATTGCAGACTGGTTTGGGTGGGAAGAGACCTTAAAGCTCATTCAGTTCCAGCCCCTGCCATGGACAGGGACACCTTCCACTAGCCCAGGTTGCTCTGAGCCCTTTCCAGCCTGCCCTGGAACACCTCCATAGCCTAGAGAGATCAGAGCCCCAGCACTGCACCCAGTCAGCCACAACATACCATGTCCTCACCAGAAATGCTCCTTGGTATAGCTTTAAGTAACTACAAGAATAATAATCAGGCAAAAATATATATAAGGTTTCATTAAACTGAAAGGGTTGATGGGTTGGGAAGTCCTTATGGAGGGGATGGGCTGGTTTTCAGGCTGGATGAAGGTAAAGGTTTGGTTGTTCCCTAGAAAACACCTGTGTTGGACTCCAGTGCACTGAAGACTCGAGTGCAGCTCAGCAAGAAGCGACGCCGCAGGGCCCCTGTGTCCCACTCACTCAGGAGGAGCAGAGGACTGGAGCTGGAGAAGGAATTCTCCTTGACAGAAGAGCCAGACTCCTGGATGTTCAAAGATTCCACAGGTATCCCTCAGCCAGCTGAAATACTCAGCTTGGTTGTATCATAATATGTTAAGGGGCTGGAATGGACCTGAGAGATCACCCAGTGCCAACCCCTGCCCTGGGCAGGGACACCTCCCAGCAGAGCAGGTTGCTCAAGGCTTATCCAACCTGGAATGAACACTGCCAGGGGTGAAGGGCAGGAATTCCTAAACGGTGTTTCTGAATACTCTTTACACATGCTGGAGTGGAAGGAGAGGTCTAGAACAAGGTGTAGATGAAAACTCTGCTGACTGATGATTCCCTGTCTCTGCTTGTTGTCAAACAACTCATTAGAAGAGAAGAAAACTATGCAACAGGAAGATTCCGAGGAGGAAGAGAAGATCCAGCATACTCCAAGGTCATCTTCTGTCCAAGCTCAGAGACTCCCGGTGTTTCCAGGAATGGATCACTCTGTCCTCAAGGTGAGCACAGCAGAGCACGTTGGGTGAGAGATAAACCATTGCAGGAGCTTTAGTAGGTTTCTGATTTCAGACATGGATTTTTTTTGTTTCTATAAGTCTGAGTGTTTTGCATCCCCTAAAATAAACCCTGAATCCTGGTTTAAAATTTTGTTTCCATAAGTCTGAGTGTTTTGCATCCCCCAAAATAAACCCTGAATCCTGGTTTAAAAGAATCTCTTCCATTATTGTGGTATTTAGGCCCAACTGCGGAAAAGACAAGAGTCTGAGAGTGCTGGAGATGTGAGTTCTGCTCAGCTCTTCAGGTCCCCCAAAGCCCAGCTCAGCACTCCTGGGAGCAGAGTTCTGCCCTCCAGCGTGGAGAGGGAGGACAGGTGAGGGAATTCAGCCCCAAAGGTGCTGATACTCTTTTTGGTGAAGTTAAAACACAGTGCAAGAAATTCTCTGTTCCTTTTGTTGTTTCTGGAATGAGTTTTCACAATGAAAGAATGAAAAGATAATAATAAATAAAAAGATAATGAGAGAGCGAATAAAATGTTTTGGGTTTTTTTTTTTGGTCTTAGGTCAGAGGAAAAGTCTCCTCAGTGGCTGAAGGAGCTGAAATCAAAGAAGAGACAGAGCCATTATGAGAATCAGGTTTGAAAAGGTACCTTGGGCTGTGCTGAGTGCAGTGAGACACCCACAGTATGTGCAGTGTGTCCACAGCCTCTGTCACTCACCCTGGGGTGCACCCAGGAGTGCCAGGGGTGGTGTGACATCCCAGAGCAGTGAAGTTTCACTCCCAGGTGAGAGTTTCCCCTGTGGTTTCACAGTGAGCACAAATGAGCAGTGCTGAGGCCTGCCCAGGGTTTGGGAACCTTGTGCTGCTCAGCACAGTTCTGGGCAGCTCTGGACCATTTAAGACACTGAAGAAAACAAGGCCAAGATGTCACTACAACAGAAACACTCATTTTGGGGAGGGTTTCCTGGTACAGCCCCCAAGAGGGCCTGAGTGCTTCCATGTCACACCATTGCTTCAATCCCTTCTGTTCTTTCCTTGCAGACAGTGATCCTAACTAGAAGAAGATAAACAAGTTTAACAGAAGCCTTAACTCATCTGAACCTAAACCCCCATGTCATGTTGCTGCTGTTTGCTTCCTGCCTCAACTGCTATGTGCATGGTGCCTTCCTGTTTCGTGGAGAAAGCTGCTTCAGTTCATACTCAAATACAAAGCTGAGCTGCCAGGCTGGGGGGCACAGTGCCACCCCAGCCCTGCCTGCCAGAAGAACCCAAGGTTTCTAGTTGGCACTTCAGGAAATCCTGGGAATGGAGATTTGGGAGTGCTGTGCTGCAGGGAACTCCCCTCACCGTTGAACAGAGACTGTGTAAGGTGTTGAGCACCCCCAAAAATGTGACCTTGGGCAGCTGTGTCTGGTTGGGCTTTGTGTTTGTTTATGAAAATAACAATTTGAATCGAATTTATTTTCTTTTTTTTTTTTTTGTGAACAAATAGTAAGTTCCTATTTAGAACGAAGCTCGTGGGAGGTGAGAGTGGAAGAACAAGTCATGTTTACTGCCATATTGACAAAGGAAACTTGATTATTTTTTTGTAAGATGTTATTTTTGATTGGCTTATATTTACATGTGATCTGCTGTCCTCAGCAGATGGAGATAATTTTTAGATGAACAAAACGTTGACTTTTGTCACTCTTGAAGTGGTTTATTCTGTGTTTTCGTCAGCATGTGGAGTAATTGCTTCATTGGAATGTCTTTCCTAAAAAGGATCAAGCAATAATGTCAACCAGTTCTCTTTCAAAAACAAGTCAAACTATGTAAATACTGTTTTTATAACAAAAAGGAAGGGAAGAGGGAGGAGGTTTCACTCATATCAGGGTTCCAGCGAATTGTTGAATGTCACTTTACTAGCAGTTCGGATAGTCCCACTCCATATTTTTATTTGTGAATCTGTAAATACCAGGGGGAAGTTTTTATTTTTATGCTGATTTTTTTTGTGGGATAACCTAAACGTGATCTTCAGTTTCTCAGATGAATTCCTGTCCTTCCCCTGGCCACAGAGCGACGTGCAGAGATCTCCCGGAGCACACGGTGTGAGTGTCCCCAAGTCCTCAGACACATCCCCCTCCTTGGACACAGGTCTTGAGGCACCAACCCCACGGCCACAGGACACGTTCATTTTGCCCCAGACAAGTGCTCTTTCAGTAAACCTTCAGAAACAGCCCCAGGAAGGGAGGGTGGCTGTCCTGTTGGTGCTCCTCAGGCTCCACCAGGAGAGTGTGGAGGAGGGAAGGGAGAGCAGAGCAGAGTGTTCTCCTTACCTGGCACAGCCCAGGCTGCTCCTTGGGCTGCACTTGCCCAGTCCTGCCAGGGGCTCCTCTAGCTAAAACACAAAGCACCAGCACTTAACTCCTTGTCCTTCCTCTCTTTGCCCATGAGTGTTTGGGAAGCTGCTCCCGTGGGGTTCGCACTGGTGTGGTCTGTCTGCTCTGCTGTCTGCCAGGCTTGGAGCTGCCAAAACCATGTGCCAATTCTTCTCACCGAGGAGTCTCAGAGGAGAGGGGGTTTGCAGGCCCAGTCTGCTCTAGGAAGTAGCAGCAGGATGGCAGGAGACAAGTCCCATATGCACATCTCCCTCTCCCGGATTCCGTTCTGGTGGCAGCTCCCTGTGCTCCACTGAGATGAGGTGAAGACATTTACCTTATGGAAAAGTCTTGCCTTGCTGCTTGGTGCTGTTTCTCATGGGAGCTGTTGCCACTGGTAGTTTTCCAGCCCTTCAGTGATTCCCCCAGGATTCCTGCAGGGCGTTCCATGCCGTGTGGTGCTGGACCTTGGGAGAAGGGACTGGGAGATGGGAGATGGGAGATGGGCTGTGTTGGGCACAGCCACCACCACTGACCAGCTCCTCTCAGCTCATTTGAAAACGTTGCACAGATTTTCTTCGCTCTCCTTTAGCCGATGGTGGAAAAGGCAACTCTTTGCCTATGTGTGTTTTGGGATGTATTTTCATGGCAGCACCGAGGTTTTCCATCTGGGGTGTCCATGGTGTCCCACGTGTGCCTGGGCCAGCCCGAGCAGCAGCCTGTGCAGGTGTGAGGAGGGTGAGGATGACCTTTCTCACCCAGGTGAAATTTGGCCTGTTTGGGGCCTGTTTCTAACCCCTCTCTAGCAATCAGGGAACCCCCTGCTCCCAGGAACATATCCATGGGCTGCATTTTCCACTTCAGCAGGTGACAGTGTTGTATTCCCAACAGTTGGAGGATTTCCTGGTTCTTGGTGTGATAACTGAAGGCCAGAAATTCTGTAGCTGCAGTGTTTGCTCTGTGTTGAGGAAATGGAGGGGATTTCCACAAAGCCCTTGAATGTGTTTTGCATTTCCACATCTGCTTGGACAATGCACTGAAACTTACTGTATGGGGTAGTTTAACCTACTACTGAGAGATGTTTAACGCTTAAATGTCTAATTAAAAAGCATCTTTAGAATGTTGTTGAATGGGAAAGTTTTTTTTTCTGCTTTATAATTCCTTTATATTGTACATGGATTAAATATCAACTTCCTTCTCTTCGGGTTATTGCTCTGTAATAAAAGAGATATAAATATGTTATTACTTCTGAAACGATAGAACGGACTCTAATACACTTTATATGATTCTATTTTAATTCCAAGTGATGCTTGTTGGAATTTTTTTTATGCTTTCACTTTTGTTGCCACTTGCTTTTTTTCTGCTGTTTGTTTGGAGGTGGAAATGAACTCTCAGGTTCATTCCTTCCTGGATTCTGCCTGGGGGGAAGGTTCAGCTCGTGTCCTGACTGATACTGGAGGTGCTGAAGCTCCTGGCAGTGCCCTCGTTCCTCCCATTGCTGCAGCTCCTCAACTGTTTTTCCTTGCTAGGAAAGCTGCACCAGTATTGGTTTTTACAAGTGGAATTGGGTGTCTTGGTGGAATTCAGGAATGTTTCTGGATCACTCTCCTTGTTATCCCCAGCGATCTCCTCTGGGTGGTGTGGCAGGGACTTACACAGCCATTCCATTGCTTTGGTTGGAATCCCCAGTTGGGGAATTTCTTCCTTTTTCTGCTTGCAAATTCACCTTGTTAAGGTCCTTGGAGCATCAGTCAGAGTCCTGAGCCACCAGAGCCTTTGGCTTAACTTGCAGAGACAGAGCCAACGTTTGGTTCTTCAGCCTTTGATATCCGAAACCTTCTGTAGGAATCAACCCCCAGGTGACCTTTTTTTTCCCTTGCTCAAAGAGGTCTCCCCCTGTTGTTTGTTTGCAAACAGTTCTTGGCAAACCTAAACGCACCTTGAGGCAGATTTGGGAATGATGTTGCCTGTAAAGGTAAACCCTCAGCCCTTGTGCACACACCAGAATTGTTCCTCCTGCCTCGGGGGTTACACCCAGCCTGGAGTTGGGTGCTGAGGTGCTCCAGGGATTGCTGAGGCACTGGAATGGCTTAGTGTGGGGGTCACAGCACTTCCAAGGCAAATATCAGGTGAGTAGTTCACATCCAGTGGTTTAACCATCCATGCCTCAGTCACAGGTACTTCTCTTGCTATGGGAGTGATGTGGTGTTGGTGCCTTTAACCTGAGCCTGTGGATCCAGAGTTGCTCCTCATCCAGGATTCCATGGTTCCAGCCCTGGCAGGCTCTGTGGTCCCTTGGGAGCAGTCAGTGCATCCCAGGGGAGCAGGACTGCCAGGATGGCCTGGGCTGGGGCTGGTGTGTGGAAAATCATGATTTCAGGAGGATGTTTTGGGAGGTGTGTGTGTCCCATGTGGGCTGTGCTGGAAGGGATTTGCTGGTTGCTTACAGCAGATACCTGAGTTGGAATAGGAAATCCCTGCATGCTGCTGGGATGGAGACAGGGAGTTTGGGGATGCCTGGGAGCAGCCTGGGCTAGTGGAAAGTGCCCTTGCCCTTGGCAGGGAGTGGAATGGGATGAACCTCCATGCAAGGCACTTGGCTCCCAAAATCCCACTACCCATGCCAGGATGCGTTACAAACCCCACTGTGTGTGCCAGTGTGCCCTGGGGAAACACACCGAGGAGGGAGCAGGACTGGGGGGCAAAGAAGGAAAAGAGGCTCCATGGAGAGAACCATCCTGGTGAGGACCAAAGCTGGAGCAAGAACCCACAGCTGGAGATCCTGAGATCTTCTCCTGCCCTGGAACCACCTTCCCCCTAAGCTCCCTCCGCTGCCCCTGACCCCACGTTGGGAGCCCAAACAAACCCTCCATATTTCTCCCTGGATTTTGCTTCGCTGCGCTGGGTTTCCAGGCCAAACCCTCCCGTGAACTGCTGACGGGAGAGTTTTCCAGAGAACCTGGCAAGAAGCAGCGTGAACGTGCTGATGTGAGTTTCGACGCTAATCTTCTGTAAAGCGCGCGGGCCAGGCCCGAGGCAGGGCCGGGGCAGGGGGGGCTGACGTTCTCGCGGCCCCCGCGCTATTGACAGGAGATCTCATGGATGGAATTCCGTGGACGCAGCTGCTGCATCAGCGCTCGGGCAATGTGCTGTTCTGTTCAGAAGCGACCCATAAATAGCGGAGCCGCCCGCGCCGCCGGCACAGCGGAACCGCTCGCAGAGGTACTGCTTGGACTGCAAGGGGCTTTGCAAAGGAGTTGAGCACGTCTGAGTGTAGATGGCACAGAGAGAGCTTTGCTCGTGCGTGGCGAGGAAGTGATGCTTTTTGCAAGGGTTTGGTGAAGGATGTTGAGCAAACTCTTTTATTCATCTCCTGACCCCTCGCGGTAGCGCGGCCGGGGAGGCGCTTCCAGTGGGTTTCCTAGGAGAGCAGGAGTTTGGTGGATGTTCCTGCAGAGTGAGGAAGGGTTTTCACCACATCTCTCCCAGCCAAGGTGGTGGCAGCACCTCCAGCTGCCAGGTCTGGTGTCCCCCCAGGGTATGGGAGTGAGGGAGAGGGGTCAGGTTTGTGTTAGTGGGGAGAGATGTCAGCGGCTGGGAGCTGAAACGTGGCAAGTTGCTGCTGGAAACAAAGGCCAGGCTGGGAGGTGGGAGTTTAGTGACAGCTGGGAGAGCTGCCCAGGGCAGAGAGAGGGATCTGTGTCCCCTGGGAGACAACTAGGTCAGTCCTTGGGATGCCTGGGTGAGGATGCAGGGCCTGTGTGCAGGAGGATGGATGACGGAGCATCCTCCTGGCCTGGACATCCCACTGCTGCCTTGGGATCTGGGTTAACCTGTGCTGCTGTTCCCATGCCAGATCATCCTTTTGTGTGTCGTGAACTGCTTCGTAGTGCAGAGCCTGATGCCTCAGCACAGCACCGTGGTAACCTCTGCCCTTTGGCTTTTCCAGGCACAATGACTGAACAGCAAAGTCCCCCCGAGCAGATGGCGACTGGGGAGGGTGCTGGAGAGCGAGGTGGCAACTACAAGGTATACTGGGCTGTACTGGGGGAAACTGGTGATGCTGTGGGTCCTTGTGAGATGCAGACACAGCAGGCTGGAACCAGTGCCAGCTCTGCAGGTGGCACTGGGGACGTGAGTGGTCTCCAGCTCTCCTACAGCAGCTCATGCTGTTGTCACTGCCCTGGTACTGCAGGCTGGGCAGGGAGGCTGGGGCTGGGATTTGCTGCTGCCTGGCAGGAGGGACACTGCTCCCTGCCTGTGTGGCTGTATTTGCCTGCCAGTCTGGTGTGCAGCTGCCCAGTGATTTAATCCAGGAGATAAAGCATCCTGTCACGGTGGGATTGGCTGTCGGGCTGAGCAGTGAAACTCCCTGCGTGTGATTTTTGGGTTTGAATTCAGCTTGGAGGTTGGCTGGTGGTAAATCAGCTTGGGGGGTGCAGTGGCTGCAGCCCTTCCTGCAGCTCAGGGCACTGCAAAGCTGCTCCTGGACAGGGAATGTTGGAGGTGGGAGCAGATGCTGCGAGTTGGGTAAAGAGGTGTCAGGAGCTGGGGATGTTTATTGCTTTGGGGTGGACAGAGGTTCCTGAGGAACACACATGTCACCTCTGTCCCTTGAACCCACATTCTGTGGTGTCTGCAGGAGGCTCTGCCCTTGTCCTGGGTTTAGGGGTTGCAGTTGTGACCCCTTTGGAGCAGTGTCCAGGGGTTTTCTGGCAGCTGTACTGACCCTGCTGGTCCCTGAGTTGTGCCAGGTGCCCTGGGCCCTGCTCCCTGCCATGCTCCAGTCGCTGGCACTGGCTCCAACCCATCCTGCAGCTCAGTCTCAAGGCTCTGCCAGGAGCAGAAGACATTGGGTCTCTGCACCTGGCAGGGTTTAGAGAGAAACATTGACTACTGAGCTTGTGCCAGGCCAGGCCAGAGGAATGGATAGATCTGGAGGGAGCAGTGAGAAGGAAAGGATGGGCCATGATGGGGCTGGAGGCAGCCCATGGCCCTGGGCATCTCTTAGCCCAAACCCTTTGTGTTTACACTGCTGTATTAGAGCTGATCAACTTGTTGTCAGCCTGTCACAGATGCAGTTCCAGCCTGTGCTTTACCAAGCAAACAGCCTTGGCTGGAGCATGGCTGTGGAGCAAGGCCTGGAGCTGTCTGTTGGGGCAGAGACACGTGGCAGGACTCGGCTCTGCCGTGGGTGACGAGCGACGGTGGTGCAGAGATTGGAGCAGAGGGACAAGGCTGGAGCCTTTTGCTCTGCTACTGCTCCCATGGGATCCCTGCACTGGGGCTGGATGTTCTCCCCCTCAGCATGGCTGTGGTGGCTGATGGTGCCTCTCTCCCCACCTTAGATCACAATCTACGAGCTGGAGAATTTCCAGGGAAAGAAGTGCGAGCTCACGGAGGAGCTCCCAAACATCACCGAGAAGGAGATGGAGAAGGTTGGCTCCATCCAGGTGGAGTCTGGCCCGTAAGTTCAGGATGGGGAGGACAGAGCAGCCCCAGGGGTGGTGGTGCAGGGAGAACATGCCCTGACACTGGGGTCCCACAGGTGGTTGGGCTTCGAGCGACAAGCCTACGCCGGGGAGCAGTTCGTGCTGGAGAAGGGTGACTACCCTCGCTGGGACTCCTGGTCCAACAGCCACAACAGCGACAGCCTCATGTCCATCCGCCCCCTCCAGATCGTGAGTAGGGCTGTGTCGGGGGCTCTGTGCCCCCCAGCATGGGGCACCAGGGCTGGGAGGGTCCTGGGGGCAGCCCCTGAGCCGTGCTATCCCCCAGGACAGCCCCGACCACAAGATCCACCTCTTTGAGAACGCAGGCTACACCGGCAGGAAGATGGAGATCGTGGATGACGACGCCCCCAGCCTCTGGGCCCACGGGTTCCAGGACCGCGTGGCCAGCGTCAAGGCCCTGAACGGAACGTAAGGATGGGGACACAGAGGGCACACGGGGACACCCTGACAGGTCCTGTGACACTGTGGCTGTTCCCCTGGGGTGGTGGCAAGGTCACCTAGCACGGCCACTGCGGCAGGACTGGGGCAGCTGTCCCCATGGAGCTACTCTTGGACACCACCTCCCTTGTTCCTTCCCTGCTACCATCTTTTCCCTGCTCCCCAGGGAGTGATGGGGACTGGGGCAGCATCCCTGGGGCTGTGTGGTCCTGCTGCAGGAGCAGTGGAGCCACTTCTGCACCCTGAGCTCTCTCTCTGCTCCCAGCATTTCCCACCCTGCAGCTGCACTGACACTTGGTGCCAGGCCCTGGGCAGCATCACCTGGCTGTGGCAAGCAGAGCCACTAGCACTGTCCTGGCCTCCTCGGGGTGGCACAGAGATGCTGTCCCCACTCCAGAGGGATGTGCCTACTGGGCAGGGGGTGCAGCAGGGCTGGAGACACTGCTGAGTGCTGCCTCCATCCCCACAGGTGGGTGGGCTACGAGTACCCTGGGTACAGGG